GTCTTCACCCCGCGCGTCGCGAGCGAGGACCGCGAGGGCCTCGACAAGGAGCGCTGGCGCCGGGCCTTTCGGAATTTCTCACCGCAGCGGAGCCCGACCCCGCGGGCCCGGGGGGGGAGGCGACCGGCCTCCACAGGCGCGCCACGAATTTGGCCCGGCCGGCCTCCCCGGGACGGCAAAAGGACGACCGAGCGGGGCCTCGTGCGCCGCCTCGACGCTCGACCTCGAACGTCTCCCGCGGGGCGAGCGATGGGGTCGGGCGGCGGGAGATGACCACGCCCGTGCGGCGGCATTTGACGAGTTTTCTACGCGAGACCCCGACGACGCAGACGCCTACGCACACGCCATCGAGGATGCAATCGATTCGGGAGCGAATAGTTCGGGCTTCTCCTCTGGAGGGGACGGGGGGGTTGGAAAGAAATGGGGGGTTGAAGTCCGTGCCCCCGATCGTGAAGTTTTACAGTAAAGAAAAGTCTCGGGTGAATGGCGTCCCGGTAGCTCGTCGGTCTCCGGGAGAGGTTTTTATGGAAGAATTGTGGTATCAGGAAAACGATAATTTTTGAAATCTAACCTTTCATTTTAAGATGGCTTTAGTTCAGGAAAGACTAGATTTTCCATTCTTAAAAGTATGTATCTATTTCATCCTGAATGTTCATTATTATTCCTTTTTTCATTATTGTTGTTGTCATTTTTTCAATAAATTGATGTGGATCTTTTTTTTCTTCACCTTATATCCATTAATTGTATTTGTTCGTCATTTTCTTCATTCTTTGTGTCTTATTTAATTGCGATTTGTACCCACCGTAAGGGGAGTGGGTGGGGGCGAAGAGAGAGGGGACTTTCACATATGTTATGGAGCCATCTGTGATTGGGGCGTCGGTGAAGCTGCGCTACTTTTTTATTTCTCTGAATTTCTTTTACGTTATTTGACTTTACTCCCTTCAAAGATAAGTATCGCATCCTTATTATTGTCACAATTTCCTTCCATTAGATTTGTTTTCCTTTTTTATTAATTTTGCGCACTGGAAACGCCCGTTGACGGCGGTTTGTTCATCTCGTCCCGATCGCGAAGGGGATGCCCCATGAGCTCCTAGGCGATCCCTTTCCCGCGCACGCGCGGACGCCGGAGTCCCAGCGCTATTTTCCCTCCTCCTTTGCCTCCTCCACCGCGCGGGTCGTCAAAAGTCATCCGTTTTACACCGCCGCGGCGATGATTTTACCCGAACGCTCCCTCGCGCCCGATCGCGACCCTCACGAGGGCCTTTCCCCCTCCCGCCGGGGGCTTCTTGCCTTTCACGACGGCGAAACCGTCGAATTGGACGAGTTGGACGATTTGGTGGGGGAAAACGCGAGGTCGGAGCCCCCCCCGGCGGAGGTTTTCCGCGATCTGACGAACACCACCACCGCCGTTTGGTGCGAAGGCGGCGCGAAGGTGACCCCCGCGAGGCGCACCTTCCCCTCCTCTCACTTTCACCCGATGGAGGACGCCACAACTACGGCGGATTCGACCCTGAACGCGGGCGAGACGGCAATCCCAGGGGATTTCAACACGGAGGTGCTTTTCAGCCCCCCACCCGCCCCGGCGCGAGGGGAGTGGGGCGAAACTCACAACCCCAAAGACCACCGATCGCCCTCGGAGGAGTCCTTTTTTACCGACCTCGCCGCGGCCCCGCGGAAGAGTCATCTGCGCGGGCTCAGCGAGCCGAGTTCGATCTCCCACGAGGCCCCCACTGCCGGGGAAGTGGCGGACGAAACGAGCTCAAACGCTCCTCCCTCCCTCCGCGAGGGTCCTCGCGTGGAGGATTTTCAGACTTTTTCCTCGGCCCCATCGAATCCGACCGTCTCCTGCGAGATGGGGGGGGTCGTTTGTGAGGAGTTTTCCTTTTCTTCGCACGCGCCTTCTCGCGTGGCGGTTTTCCCCAACCCCCACTCGATCTCAAGCGGGGATGAAGAAAAAGGAGCAAATGACGGCGGCGGAGGGGGTCCCGCGGCCCCTTCCGCGTGCGGGAATCGCGCCGAGGCGGCTTCGGGGCCCCTTCCCTGGCCCCGATCCGGGGCTTTTCCCGCTTTGGCGCTTTCAACTCAGGAAAAGGCGCCTTCTTGGGGGGTGGCTCACCCATTTCGACGTTCGCTTCACCTGACGCCGGAGGAGAGCGGGGGGTATTCGCAAATCAGCCCCGCGACGACCTCGCAGGCCACGACGACCCTCGACCTCGTGGAGGAACTCGCCCAACTCGCCGTGCGGGGCTCCCCCGCGCAAAAGAAACTTCTTTTCGACGAGGCCAACGACAACGAGGAGGCCGCCCCCGCCAGGCGATGTCTCCCCCCGACGGCGATTCCGCCCTTTTCCGCCTCGTTCTGGCGATTTACCCCCTTTTCCTCTTCCGATGGCCGCGAAAAAGGGGGAATACGGGGAAAGGCGACAAAAGAAGACGCGGACGATGTGTGTTTCACCCCGTTTGCGGAGGAGAAGGGGGGGCGGATTTTCGAAAGGCGCTCCGCGATCACGATTATCGATGCGAGGGCAGATAAGGGAGGCTCCAGGAGGCGTCGCGTGGATGAATCCCGCCGGCCCAGCGGCATGCAGCTCCTTCGATCGCGAAAACGATGCCTGGCGGAGATGGCCCTCGCGGAGGCCTCCAACGGGAGCGGGACGGTCCTGACGCCTCACACACATCGGGATTTCCCTCAAATTACCCAATCGTCGTCCGTAAAGGGCGCGATGGGTGGGGATGCGGGGGCGGGAAGCCGCGGGGAGGGGCTTCGCGAGCGAACTTCGACGACTTCTCATGCTGGCAGGGCGAAGGGGTTGGTGGAGTGGTCGAAACGCCATCGGCAGGAGGTCATGGCGAGTATTTCTCGAGATAACATCGATCATCCTCACGATCGCCTCCTCCACACAGAAAACCATAATAATAGCGGAAATCATTCAAGACTTCACAAATTTGTTGAGGGGAAGTGTGATATTGCAGGAGAAGAGAGATGGGAGAAACTAAACGAGGATGATGAGGCGTCTATGGAGAATATTACTTACTAAGCTGCTAGAAAAAAAAAAGAAAAATAACCAGCGCATGTGCACACGATGAGCATGTGATTTGATGGATCAAGGCTACATTTATTAAAAAAGGGCTACTATTGAAAGAAAAGTGAATAAGAAATGAATGGATCCTGTTAAAGAGAAGATTTATCTTCAAAAAAAAAAAGCAATGGCAACGTGTGTGACTTTATTTAATTATTGTTAAGCTTTTGCTTGTATTTAATCATGGGTTTACGGATTATGTATCACGAATCTTTCTTCGAAGGTAATAAATATTACAGTTCCATCATCGAAAAAAGAGTAGGGTACATACTTGAGCGGAGGAGATATCACATAGTGGTAGACAGAAATTCATACTTTTCAGAAATTTGCCTCTGCTTTTCTTTTTTTGTCATTTCCTTTAATTCATGTTATGCCATTTTGTTTTCAAATGAGTTTATATTACACCATTTCTAGCCACTTATTTCGTAGTTCCTCTTATTTATCCCTGCAGACGATTTCTTACACGTCTTTGTTAATTGTTTGTACTAGCTTTCTCCTTTCTGGTCTTTTCATGGATGTCTAGATTTAGAATTTTATTCACCTAATGACATCCTATATACTTACTAATTTTTTTTGTTTATCCTACATATTTATTATTAGATGCTCGAATTTACATACGTACCCATATACACACCCTCCTACACAAGTAAACAAGTCTCTGAGATGTGTAAAAATGTCACTACATGGAATTTTATATCAATACCTAAAAAAAAACGATTTAATATGTAAACTCGAAGGGTGGTTATTCTTATCACCCCTTTTTTTGTTCAAATCTTACTTACCCTTTCTTCCTCCTTGCATTGATCCTGTTTATTACTTAATAATAATAATAAAAAAAATATATATATATAGTAAAAAAAGTAAGCATACCCATTATTTTTACTTTTTTACTTCTTGTGGAGGGGGATACACTGCAGTAAGGTTATCTTCTCTTGGCACACATCCCCACGGCGATTTTCTCTTTTGACTCCTACATCCCAGTGTAATCCCGTTGGGTTCTCCTATCGACACACACACACACACACACCACAGTGTGACATCCCATTGCACCCCAACTCAGCCCTAGGCAAACCAACGACTCTCACCTTAACGGCGGTCTTCACAAGTGTACGGAAGTGATCTGATGTCTGCGGAAGTAGCTGCGATGAACCCGACCCTCCCCGCGGTCTCCTCGTACTTTATGCAGAAGGTCCACGAGCTCCGGGCGAGTGAGAAACGGCAGATGGACAACTTCCAACGGCTGGAGGCGCAGCGGAATGCCCTCAACCGGCGGGTCTGTCACCTCAAGGAGGAGGTTCAACTCCTCCAGGAGAGCGGCTCTGTCGTCGGGGACGTTGTGCGGGTGATGGGAAAGGCTAAAGTCCTCGTGAAGGTCGGCAGTGGGCAGGGAAAGGTTGTCGTAGAGGTGGAGAAGAACATCACTATGTCGGAGCTCACGCCGAATACGCGTGTGGCCCTGCGGAGCGGGTCCTCGGCGATTCATTACATCCTCCCGACGAAGGTCGACCCGTTGATCTCGCTGATGAAGGTAGAAAAAGCAGGGAAAGAGTCGACCTACGACGAGATCGGCGGGCTCGCGCGGCAGGTGAAGGAGATTAAAGAGGTTATCGAGTTGCCGGTGAAGCACCCGGAGCTGCTTGAGGCGCTCGGGATTGCGCAGCCAAAAGGGGTCCTCCTCTATGGGCCACCGGGGACGGGGAAGACGCTGCTTGCGCGCGCGGTTTCACACCACACGGAGTGCACGTTTATCCGCGTTAGCGGGGCGGAGCTCGTCCAGAAGTACATCGGTGAGGGCGCGCGGATGGTCCGAGAGCTCTTTTTGATGGCTCGCGAACATAGCCCGTCGATTATTTTCATGGATGAGATTGATTCCATCGGCTCCACACGGATGGAGGCGGGCCCGCTCGGGGACAGCGAGGTACAGCGCACGATGCTCGAACTGCTCAACCAGCTTGACGGCTTCGAGTCCACGCAGAATATCAAAGTCATCATGGCGACCAATCGGATAGACATTCTCGACGAGGCCCTTCTTCGTCCTGGGCGAATTGATCGCAAGATCGCTTTCCCTCCACCAGACGAGGCCGCGAGGTTGGAGATTCTGCGGATCCACTCGCGGAAGATGAACCTCACGCGAAGTATTAACCTCAAGGTGATTGCGGAGAAGACGCCGAACTGCTCAGGTGCGGAGATTAAGGCGGTCTGCACAGAGGCGGGGATGTTCGCCTTGCGTGAACGACGTGTTCACATCACGCAGGAGGATTTCGAACTCGCAGTGGCTAAAGTGATGCACAAGGATCAGGATAAGAATATATCACTGAAGAAAATGTGGAAATAAACGAAGAGGGGAAGAGTTATACCGATAAATAGCCTTTCTTAAAAACAAATTTAGATATCTATATATATATGTGCAGATTCCCACGGGTGGAGTTGAGGAAAATAGGAAAACAAGAAGACTATTAACTATTATAATTCTGATGCTTTGAAATGAGCAGGTGGCCAGGCGTCTTAGCGTGTTTTGTTTTTGAATGTTAAATGATACTACAATTGAAAAAATCAACCAATTCCATTAAACAAACGAACAACAAAAGAACTCAAATTTGATGTTTATCACCGTGCTCTAGGTTTCGGATTTCTTCATTTTCACTTTTCCTCACAAGATCCAGCATTCCTTTTCCGAGTCAGGAAATCATAGAATCAACAGGGTGCCTCGAATCATTCGAGACCTGAGAAAGGATCTAGCTTTATCACTTTAATAACATCAGAGACAGCACATCAGCACGCCCTTTTCTCTTCCACACCGGCGATTAAGTGAGGAGAGACACCGTTTCTTAATAGACCTTATATTAATAGACACACACACACACCAAAAAAGGAATAGACCGAATCCGTAGAGTATTTTGCGTATGAATCGTGAGTGGGCTCGTTTTATTGCCGCCCTGGAGGCGAAGGAGGTGCGGTTTAGCGATATTCAGTACGCGTCGGATCGCCCGCGTGTCATTCACGCCGCCGGCTTCGACGACCCCCTGGCCGTCGCCATGATCGAGACGGAGTGGCGCCGGCGGTGCTCGACCTCGATCTCGCCTTCCCATGCCAACCCCCCGTCGGACCTCCCCCGTGAGGATTCCACCCCCCATTCCGGGAATCTTTCCACGAATGCCTTGACGAATCCCCCTGGGAATGCTTGCGAGGGTAGTTTTGAGAATATCCCGGCGGCCGTTCTCGCCCCGCTCGCGGCCGACCCCGCGGCCTTCGCGGCCGCGCCGGAGGAGCTGCAGGACCGCGTCGTGGCGGCCGCGGCCCTGTCGGCCGCCCTCGGCGTCGGCGGCCCTTTTTTTCATTTCCGACGTGGCGGGAGCGGAGGGGGAGGGGGGGGAATTGAGGCCGAGGGGGTGGTGGTGCTTTCCCCCGCCGTTCCTCTTCCCCTGCGCGGCCTCGCGCGGGCGATTTTGCCGATGGCCGCGGCCTTTGTCGAGCTCTGGCGCCTCACCGCGGCGGAGTTCCTCGGCGGCAGCCTCGTCGCGATGGCGCTCGGGGAGACGGTCGGGGAGATCTGCGCGGGCTACGCGCGGGAGCTGACGACCCTCCGCCGCGCAAGCGCGACCAGCGCGCGGCCGCTGATGGGCGTCGTCTCGGAGATCCTCCGCGTGGGGCATCACCTCGTGCGGCTACGCCAGCTCCTGCCCGAGGATGGGCTGCTTTTGCCCCCTGCTGGCGGCGACCCCGCACGGCGCCCGCGCCTCGGCGGCGGCGGGTTGATCGGCGCGCGGATTTTAAACCACCTCACCGAGCACGCCGAGCGCCGCGCGGGCAGCCGGGAGGAGGAGGAGCTCCTTCAGCTCCTCCTCCGGCGGGCGCTGGCGCCGTATTTGCGGATTTTGCATCGTTGGATGCGGGAGGGGGTGCTGGAGGACCCCTACGCGGAGTTTTTCATCACGGAGGTGGAGGAGGCCCCGCGCGCGGGGTGGCCAGCGAAGGAGCCTAAAAGCGTCATGCGGCTTTTCCCGGAGATCTCGGCAAATTTGGACGCCTTCGTGATGGCGGCGAGCGGCGGGAGAGGAGGGGGGGGCGAGGAGTTTTATTCCGCCTCCCTATCGTCCTCGGCGCTCCCCCGCCCCACTGCACAGCAGGATGTTGTGAGTTTTGAGCGCCGCTTCTCGATGAACAAGCTTCTTGTGCCTTCTTTCATTGAAAAGCCGAGTCGAATTCCCAAAATGATTTTCTTCGCGGGAAGGTACTGCTGTCTTCTGCGTGAAAGCAGCCACACGCGACCGAGCTTTGATAATTCCGCGGAGGAGGACCTCCGTGAGTGGTCCGGGGTGGATGCCCTCCATAGCAAAATACAGGAATCCTTCGAAATCGCCAGCGGGGCGGTGATTCAGATGCTTTTTAGTTCCACCGTCGACTTTATGGGGCACCTCTCCTCGCTGAAGACGTATTTCCTGCAGGAACGCAGCGATTGGGTGGCGGATCTCCTCGAAAACGCGGAGGATTTACTGCAGAAACCGCCTGAAAAGGTCAAGATCCACTCACTTCGCGTGCTCCTGCAGTCGGCAATCGCGCGGAGCAGCGCAGCAGCCTCGGACCCTTACCACTCTACTATCAGCTGTAATTTCGCCGATTCCCTGCTCGAAGATTGCCTTCAGGCGAGGGCTAAAAGGAAAACGCAGCCGACATATCCTTCTCCTTCTGCTTCTCCTTATAAAAATAAGCCCCATAGTCCGGGATCCTTGTCCAAGGCCATGAATTGTATTCATTTCTTACAGCTCGAGGCGGACCTTCAGTGGCCGCTCACTTTAGTCCTCGATGCGCACGTTATCGAGCGCTTTAATGGCATCTTTCGTTTGTTTTTACGCATGAAAACATGCGAGCGGATGTTGGCTTCCTTGTGGTATACAAACGAAACCCTTTCAAGTTTCGCCACCGCCTACGGTATCAAGCATCAGCTCACGCAATTTTTACGTCAATATCTCTTTTATGCCGCGCATTTTGTGGTGGAGCCGTTGTGGAGCCGCTTGATAGGCCGCGTTTCGCAAACCGACAGCGTCTTCTCCATCACGAACGCGTTGAATGACTTTTTTGAGGGGGTGGAGCTGGGTTTAGCGATGGCGAGCCCGCAGAGATTTTCAAGCTTATTGCGTATTCTTGATATTTGCCGTCGATTTTGCGAGTTAGGAGTGTACAGCAGCACAACTACCACTCCGCTAATTGAAGCTACTCTGCACGCCATTGAAGATGACTTTTTGCGGACATTGTCGGAGCTCGCGGCACCGACTGGGGCGGATTACACCCAACTTGTACCTTTGCTCACGTGGATTGATTTTACTGGATTCTACGCACGAAACAATATTTACCACGTCCTACGCGGCGCATCTTATACCGCGTAATCTGAAGAAAGGAGGACGTTGAGGGTTATTTATCGGAAGGATCCCTTTTCATTGTTTCTTTCCTTTCCTGAACTATGTTCACAATCCGAGAATATTGCGGAGTTAGGGAGGAGGAAAGGTGGTGTTTATGCTGGTTGAGATAGGGATGGGAAGAGGTGAATGGGGATGATCCAAGATAGCAATATAATACGCTTACTTAAGTCCTTATATTCTATTTAAAAGAGTGAAGCTTTATCCCTTTCCTTCCCTACATATCTGAGATTTTTTTTTTATCAGATATGTTCCTTTTGTTGTTGTTATTTTGGGTAATATTCACACATCTTATTCCTTCCAAATTTTTAAGACCAACGGAGAGGTGGGTACATTTCAGTGGTTATTTTCCATTTGCGGCTTATGGTTAGATTTTCTACCAAGATATCGCGCAAACAATTTCTTCTGATTGTGTCGAGTAAGTGCTTCACCTGAGGATGATATTTATCTTCAAAACATTAATTTTTTTTTACACTATTTCGTTTTATCTTTTTTTAACCCCCTTACACTTTGTATTCCTCAAGGTGAAACACGGAAGCCTACTTTGTTAGTGTTGTTATTATTATTATCATCTCAGCTTTTTTCATTTTCAAGGGGTTCAAGACACCTTCTGTGTATTTTTGAGGAATTAGAGAAAATGTCTCAAAAAAAGGTCACCTTTAAGCAGCGGATTCGCAAAAATGACATGAAACGACGGCATAAAGTCTCCTCGGAGCTCCGCAAAAAAATCGGAGCGGGCCGTCGAACGCGGAATCGTTTTGATAGCATTGATTCGAACTCCCGCCCGGTAGGGGAGATTGTGCGCGAGATCGCGCAGGGCATAGCGGTCCCCTCGCAGGAGCTTCCACTTGATCCGCGTGGCCTTACCGATATCCTTTTACAATCCTCGTCCGCTTTGCAAAGCAGCGCCACTCGTTTAACTCACAAAGACAACGTGAAAGGGAAAGCAAATGTCGATCCTACCCCGAGGAAGCATCCCAGTAAGGCGGAACCTCATTCCTTCGATGCCATTTCCCCTTCCTCCTCATCACCGGGGCTGAAATTGCATACAAAGCCACTTCCGCCGGGCGATCCTGCGGCACTTCCCGACCTTTCCGAGCTCGACCGGGCCGAGCAGCAGCGTAGACTCGAGGAGGACGCGAAGCATTCCACTACGGAAGCGACCAATCGTAATCTCTATCGCCATCACGGACAGCCTTATATTTTCTGGGAGCGAGTTGGGCTGCATCCTTTGCTCATTCGAGCCTTGCGGGAGATGAAGTTCACCCATCCGACGCCCGTGCAGGAGGAGGTGCTGTCTGGCATTCTTTCCCCTTCTTCGCCATCCAAGCGCAAGGGCGGGAAGCGATCGGGTGCGGAGGCCCCGCAGGATGTTGTCGTTTCTGCCGAAACCGGCAGCGGCAAGACCCTGGTCTTTGCGCTGCCGATCCTAAACGATATTTTGCACGCGATTGAGGAGCCGGGGCCCGGGGTTGGTGAGGGCAAACGCCCCCGCGCGGTCAGCTCGCGGCGGGATCGTTTGATGCACGCGCTCGTTCTTTCCCCGACGCGGGAGTTGGCGCTGCAGCTGCGCGAGGCTTTTCGCCGGCTCGCGGCCTTTGCGCCTGGGGTGGTGGTCGGGGCGGTGGTGGGCGGGATGGCCGCGGCGAAGCAGCAGCGCGTGGTGAACCGGCGACCGGACGTCCTCATCGCGACCCCCGGCCGCCTCGCGGACCTCCTCACGAGCAATGAGGGCTGCTATCTCGGCCATAGTCTGAGTCGGCGCCTGCGGGTGGTGGTCCTTGACGAGGCTGACCGGCTTCTGCAGTCCGGCCGCTTCGCGCAGCTGCGGGGGCTACTCGAGCGCATCCGCGGCGAGTCCAGCCCCTCCGGATTCCCCGAGGAGGCCACGCACGCGAATATCAGTGAAGTTAAGCCTGCAAATTTCAACCACGCCGATAACGAAGACAGTGAGATGGATGACACTGACACAGACAACAACAGTGACACGTGTAACAACAGTGAGATGGATAACAACAGTGAGATGGATAACAACAGCGAAGAGGAAGGGGAGGTCCGCTTGCGGAAGGATGAGCCGCAGCGCATGGCGATGCCGGCGCCGGCGCCGGCGGGCCACCGCGTGCAGACCTACGTCACCTCGGCGACCCTTTCCCTCCGGACGAACTACGAGCGGCGAGACCGCTCGGCGGGGCGGACGATCCTCCGGACGTCGAGCGCGGATGTGATGGGGCAGGTCCTGCAGGAGCTGGGGATACGGCCGAGCCACGCACGCGTCTTTGAGGCCACCGCCGGCTCCACGGTGGCGGCTAAGCTCAACGAGGCTTACCTTCGCTGCCCAACGGACAGCAAGGAGCTCTACCTATACTATTTCCTGAAGACGTTCGCCGAGGACCGGACGGTGGTCTTCGTGAACGCAATCTCAATGCTACGGCGGCTGGTGAAGCTGATCGAGATCCTCGGGATCGCGGTGGTCGGGCTCCACGCCTCTTTACAGCAGCGCCAGCGGCTAAAGGTAATCGGGAAATTCAGCGAGGGTAAGGTACGGGTTTTGATTGCCACCGACGTCGCCGCTCGGGGGTTGGACGTGGAGGGGCTGCGGTACGTTGTGCACTACCAGGTGCCGCGGTCGACGGATATGTATATCCACCGCTGTGGGCGGACAGCGCGGTGCGGGGGGACGGGGCTTTCCCTTCTCCTCGTCAGCGCCGTCGAGCATGCGTCGTTTCGCAAGCTGCTGGAGTCGCTCGGGCGGAAAGAGAGCGGGTTGGAGACCTTCGCGGTGCAGCCGACGATTCTTTACCACCTCCAGCCCCATCTCCGCCTCGCACTGCAGATCGACTTACTCCAAAAAGAGGTCGGCAAGACCAGCGCAGGGAATGAGTGGGTGCGGCGGATGAGTCGGGAGGCAGATCTGGAGGTGGGGGACCTGTACAACGACGAGGCCGATGCCGAGAATCGCGAAAAAATTAAGGCGATAAAGCTGCTGAAGAGGGAGCTGGATAAGATGACAAGAAAGTTTATGGGCTCATACGGAGGGAAGGGTGCCTTTCGCACGGGGGCGTCGGTGCTCGGCGCGAAGATAGCGGAGGAAAAGATATGTGCTCGCGCCGAACGGCAGACCCTTAGGTTCAATAAAAAATAGATCATACAGATGATCTTAAGAGACATGGATTTTTATATCTCACGAATAAATAACAATAATAAATAGACCATCTTGCCTTATCAAACTCGTAAGTAATATTCGTGTAAATTAAGGAATTCTTTTACAAGCATTCACGGTTCTGTTAAGTGAAGCATGAACTTTTGTATTTGATTTCTTCTGTATCATATCTGTTCCCACTTCGATCAAGAGCGGGGATGAAGGCTCCGTTTCACTAAACATAGTTCAATTTACTTTCCCATCCTTTTTTAGACTAATCTCTATTTTTTCTCTTTAGAAAATCATTTTTTTTTGTTTGACAAATCAAGGGTTTTTTTTATCGATGAATCAAGCGCTACTAAAGTTCGCCATTCGGGATTGGCTGAAATCTACCACCGCCTTGGCTTGGATGGGGTCTCCATCGAGACGTTTCTTGAGTACCCGCGGCGGAATCGTCTACCCTTCAACGCTTCTTCGATTTGATATAAAAAAACACGAGATGGAAAAACGCCGGATGCGTGAGCTTGCGAAGGCCTCTTCCTCCTCCATTGTCGATCATGAAGATGACGAGGATGATAGTTTTATTTCGCCTGAAGAGCAGCATCGCCGAGAGGAGGAGGAGAAACAGAGCCGTTTAGAGGAGGAACGGATTCGCACGCAGCTGCTCGAGAAACGTTCGATCGAGGAGGCGGAAAAACGGCGGCGTTTTATGGAGTTTCGCGCTCGTCAAATCGAGATGAGCCACAAACGGAAGGAAACAACTGCGGCGAAAAAGGAGGCCAATCGGGCGATGAAGGGGCAGCAGCAGCGGCACCTCGGCCGGATTATAAACGAGGAAGAATCGACAGATTCACCAAAAAATAACACAGCGAGTTCTTCCTAAATAAGAAAAAAAAACGAAAAGGAGGTGGGTGAATATGGAAGAAAAGGAATATGATGCCTTCAAAAGGAAAAAAAATAGAAGAAAGATATTCGACGTGTGTATTTTGATATGCTTATAGCAAAGAGTGACTTTTTCATTTTCCTGAGCACTCTTTTTATGGTTCTGATGCACCTATGCTCTCTTTTTATATCGCGATGCCTGTTTTGCAATATTAAATGCATATTTTTTTTTACATTTAACTTTTTTAAACCTGAAAAGGGTTTCATTCACTTTTATTCCCTCTTTTTTTCTCATTTGAATTTTCTTCATTTCCAACACCGAAGGAAGGATTCGCGGACGCAAAAAAAAATGGTTGCCGTACGCGCTAAGGTTGGCTCTCGCAGCTTCATTCGTCAGAAGCAGCTGTCGAAGGGCAAAAAAGTCTTCAGGATCGACTGCAACGTCCCTGTCGCGGATGGCATCTTCAGCGAGGACATTTTGCGCAGTTTTGAGCAGTTCTTCCTCGACAACACCAAACTCAACGGCCGTAAAGGCAAGCTTGGCGAGAAGGTCCGGATTGCCGTTCGGGATAACACGCTCAGCGTCGTCACCACGATGGCGTACCGCAAGAAGTACTTCAAATACCTTGCGAAGAAGTTCCTCAAGAAGAAGGAGCTTCGCGATTGGCTGCGGATCCTCTCCACTGGAAAGGACACCTACCAGCTGAAGTACTTCAACATTCAGGACCAGGAGGAATAAACGAACACAAGGAGAGGTTGTCCAACACACTAGTAACCGGCAACTCCTTGGAGACTCTTCACACGCCTTTGCGCATCCTTTCATTTTTATGGAAAAGCGCATTTCACCGCATACTTTCCTTTTTTATTATTTCATTGAAAAAGAAAACCCCTAAGTCATTCTATTTGGTTGAAGGTCAAAATCTATTGCCACCCTACGTAACCGATGCGGTATGTTCCTTATTAATTCTACCAATCCCCCCTCCCCCTTTTTCCCCTTTCTTCTCTTTCCCCAACATACATTGACCATGGGTTGATTAAATTTCCCTTCCCCATGTGTGAAAACACAATTCACTAACCGAATTCCATCCCACCAAGCCATTTGTATTTGCATCCCCTCATTTCACACCGGTGTGGGTGCGCCATTAGTCCATGCGGCGTCGTCTCGGCGTCCGTTCCGCCCGCCCCCTGCGCGGCGTTCTGGCGCGGTGGTTCGCGGCCCCCCCCTCTCCCCCTTCCACCGTGAAAGGGCCGGCGCCCGAGGGAAACGGGGGGTGGGCGGCCCCCGGCCTGGGCTTTCTTTCCCACCCCGAGCACCTTTTGGAGAAGGTCGACTCCACCATCGCGACCTGCGAGGCGCTCCTGGGGGCCATCCCCGCGGCCCCGACGCCGCAGGCCAAGCACGATTTGATCGACTCCACCAGCAATGTGTTGTGTTTGCTGCTGGACCCGTGCGAGTTTGTCCGGCAAATCCACCCCGACGAGCGCTACAAACGCGGCGCGAGTTTGGCCTTTCAGAAGGGATACGAATACATGTCAACGGTGAATTCCCGGCAGGATCTCTATGAGGTGATCCGATCCCTCGACAGCGCGGAGGGCCGCCAAGGGCTCGATGAGGAATCCATCAAAAACGTCGTCCAGCTCAAGCGGGATATGGAAAGCAATGGCATCCACCTTCCCGACGCCGAGCGCGCGCGGGTGGTGGCGATGAATGTGCGAAAGGAGGAGCTCTCGATGCGCTGCTTGACGGACGAGGCCGCGGCCTCGACGTTTTTGGCGGATTTGCTGGGTTGTCGGCACGACCTCGCACGGTTGTTGGGGTTCGACTGCTACGCCGAACAGCAGCTTCGCGGGACGATTTTGCAGACCCCGGCGAACGTCTGGAGGTTTTTGGGGGGGCTTTCCCACCGATGCCGCACGGGCGCGGAGAGCGAAATGGCGCTTCTCCGGCGGACCTTTTCGGAGCTGCGCGACGGAGGGGACGTCCCGGCGGAGTGGATCGCGCAGGCCACCGCGGTGCTTCGCCATAACGCGGAGCCGGCGGGACTTCAAGAATACTTCTCCGTCGCCAACTGCATTCGCGGGATTCAGTGCCTCTGCTCGGAGGTTTTTGGGGTCCACCTGGTGGAGGTAGAGTTCCTCCCCGAGGAAGTGCTGAGCGCGGAGGCCAAAAAATACCACGTCTACGACGCCGAAAAGTCTTTTTTGGGCGTCATCGTCCTCGACCTCTACGCGAGCCCGACGAAGTATTGCCAGGCCGGGCATTTAACGCTCCAGTTGGGGTGCACCCCCCACGCCGAGGCGCTCGCGCGGGTGGGGCTGAAATTTCCCCCCCGCCAGTACCCCGTGGTGGTTTTGACCTGCAATGTCGGGTCCTCCCGCCCTGCCGAGCGCCGCGCGGACGGGGGCTACGACGACGAAAAGACTTTAATCCCCCCGAACGAGGTCACCACTCTTTTTCACGAGTTCGGCCACGCCATGCACACAATCTTCGGCCAAACCCGCGTCCACAACCTCGCCGGGACGCGCTCGAGCATCGACTTTGTCGAGACTTTTTCGCAGCTTTTTGAGCAGTTTTTGAGCTCCTACGACTTTTTGAGGTTGTGGGCCCATCACTTTCAGACCCACGAGCCGATTTCGCGCGAGATTGTGCACCAACACAACACCGCAATGGGCCTTTTCACGAATTTGGGGACGTTGGATTCGGTGATGCTCTCGGTTGTGGATCAGGTCCTGCACGGGCCGAAGCCATTGGCCCTTTATCACCCCCAAACCAACCCTGGCGGGGGTTGGGGCCTGCACAAACGCACCCTCGGCGACTTCGCCGACTACCATCGTGATAGCTTCAACCTTGGGAAGTTGTTGATGGAGACGACGAAGCCTTTCGCCGCGGCGAAGATGAGTGAGCAAGGGGCCCTAAACACGCTTTCTTTTGAGCACCTTTCCGGCTATCCGGCGGGGTATTATGGGTATTTATACAGCCTGGGGGTCGCGCGCCGGATATGGAAGAAAAATTTTGAACACAACGCCGTCAACCGCGAGGCGGGAGAGGAACTGGTGCGAAAGGTGATGCGTTTTGGGGCGGCCTGTGATCCCGCCAAAACACTCGAAGACTATTTGGGTGAGGATTTGGTCGATGTTGACCGTTGGGAATGAAATAAGTAAAAAAAAAAATGAAATAAATAAAAAGAAGAGCATCCTATCGTACCGTATCTCTGCTATTTTTTTTGCTTTGTGGGTAACCCTTCGGAGTTTCCTGGGTTTGCAAGATAGCAGAAGAAGTTAGAAATTTTTCGCACTTTGCGAGGGCTGGTGAGTTGAAGACGTATTATATTAATAATAACAGAAAGATGATTTCCTGTTATTTCACAGAAAAATATATATACTGTATTCTCTTTAAAGATTCCGAGGAAGAATGGTGAGAGTAAGCGTGTTGAAGAGAAAAGTCTTTATAAGGAGTTTTTTGGTTGCGTGTAATAGCATATTCCATGGTTTCACAACTCTGTTCATTATGTTGGATCTTCTCTTCTCCCTTTGATTTTACATTATCTTCCTTGCCTACCATTCGTCGCGTACGATTCTCCATAATATCATTTGCCAATACGTAATCACATAACCAACCAACCAAGGGGTTAGACAAGGAAAATGGGCGCAAATTCCCATTTTTTCTTGCTAACGTATTTGCCTATGTTTATGTATTTTTCCCTTTCTATTCTTTTCAATGAGGCTTTTATTGTATAGACGTGAATTCCATTTTCCTATCTGCCTATCATTTCGGGTTTTCTTTCCTTCAACCCCTCTTTTCGTCTAAGCCTCCACGTTCTCTTCGGAGAAGATCTAAGGAATTATACACCAAACTCGAAAAGTAGTTTCTTATCCTTTCACCTATAAACGGACTCGGACGTATATTTTCGATTTTCCTAGTTTAACCCTTATTATTAGTATTATCATTATTATTGAGTTTGTTGGTTTGTTAACATCATTGGATTCCCCTATCGACCTCAATCGTCTATTTACAAAAAAAAAACTTATTATTATTAAAGGACCTGCTCCGAATGCGGCGTTCCGTTTGCCGTTTCGCAGCCTCGAGTCATCGCCCGAAGGCGACGGCCCTCCTTCCCCCCCCCTCCCCCGAGGTCCCTTCCCACAAATTATCCGTCTTGCACAAACTCCTCACGGGGGAGGCGCAGCTGCGAAATAAGGCCTTTTTGAAGGTTTGCAACCTCGAGCATAGCTTCGGCGCGAACTGGAAGGGGGAGATCGAGGCCTACGCGGCGAAACTCCCCAAGGCGGCGCGCGAACATCTACGGCGGCAAATCGCGCGGGTGAATCTCACGCGGTACACCACCCGCGAGCTCGCGATGTACGCCGGGGAGGGCCCTTCCTACCTAGACGACGTCGCCCGAGAGGCGAATCTTGCGCAAGGAAAGGTTTATCTCGACGAGCATGGGGTGATTGAATTCGAGACGTACGTGGAGGCGGAAGCGAAGAACGCGAACTGGCCCGACAGCGTCTGTAAAAAGTTTATAAAAGATGTCAAGGCGTTAAACGAGGAGGGAGCACAATAGGGAAACGATAAAATAATCCCCAAACCTTCAAATGATGTGTGTTTGGTTGCTTTTTCTTTAGTTCTATTCAAACTAAAACAAAAGGGTTGAACATCTGACCTGAAATTGTATGGTATGATTTAGTGTATTTGTGTTATAGTATTTAGCGATGCAATATTATAGATTTTTCTATCTGGGTTCATAAGTAAATCAGGTACGAAAAAGCAAAGGGTATTTCCTCACTAATGTACAACGATGTGGGATTGATCCTTCGTCTCGCACGTTACTTCAGGTGAAAATACGTATTATTTTTAAATGAAATCAAACCTGATATACAAAAAGAGTGTTTTTACTTCTATACATTAAATACCTTAACTTTTCTTTGAGTATTTTTCTCTTTTGTTATTTTTTTTTCATTACAAGCAAAAAAAACAAAAACAAAGCAACTTAAGCTAAACTTGTTTCTAACTACTAGCTTCATTTATTCAAAAAAGCTTCAGCTAATTATATATATTATATATATATATATATATATATATTATTAAAATTATATTATTATTATTATTACTACACTTTCTATTAGTTCTTTTAATTTGTGAAACGATGCCGTCATCCCGCACGGAGCGCGCGCTCTACGCGAGGTTGGAGCTCACCCCCGACGCCACGTCGGAGGCAATCACGCGGGCCTACCGCCGCCTCGCCCTGAAATACCACCCTGACCGCAATCCCGACGGCATCGAGCAGTTCAAGGCGCTCTCTAACGCCTATTTCATCCTCAGTGATCCCGTGAAAAAAGGACTCTACGACGCCACGGGCTTCGCAGACGCCTCGGAAGACGCTTCCCAAACGATGAAGGAGCGATCTGACGAGATGAGGGATCAACTTCGAGGCTTCTTCGCCGTCTACGCCGGATCCTCCGAGGAGGAAGGGGATATTATCAAAGCTTTTACATCAGCGCATGGGGATTTCGCGGCGATGATTCGCAAATATCTTATTTTTGATAACGGAATACCAACTGAGGTTCGCCGTCTGCACGACGTGACCTGCGATCTACTACAAAAAGGAAAGCTAAGCCCTACTAAGGCATGGAATGAAAGCACCACTCCAAAGGCTATAAAGAAAATTGAACGTCGAATGCAAAACGAGCGTGTAGAAGCGGAGAAAACGCTCAAAGAAATGAATCTCGAGCCTGACGGAAGCGAGGCAAACAACAAGAGTGGGGAATTATCGCTGCAAGCCCTTATTAAACAGCGCCAAAAAGCCTCATGGGAAACTATGCTAAACAATATGGAAGCTAAATACACTACGAACGGAAATGAAGGATCGAAAAATCCAAGAAAGAGTTCTAATAAGCGGCCAAGAGAAAGCTTGCACTGAGTTGTCCTTTTTTTTTTGGAGCGCATGTTATCCATAGAAACTACAACACACACTGATATAATAGAACCCATAGATTGCTTTTGGCCTTTAAAAAAAGTTAAACATCTTGAAAATTTTTATCATTTTTTCCCCTAAAATGTACCAAATTGGTACAGAGGGAGTATTGCTTTTTATTTTGGTTCACAAAATCTATTATGACCCTATGGATCCAAATTCCCACAAATGCGCCTAAGCATTGGGGTTGCTTTGTTTCCTTTATTCCTCCCCATATTGTTCTCCTGAAGGGTGTTTTTATAGCTTCCTGCTCCCACAACACATCGCATGCGTGGTCCCATCAATTTCCATCGACCGCGCCGTTCATCCCGTCCCGAGCCTGCGTAGACCGCCATGCCCGCTCTCCCCCTCCGCTTGGGGCTCCGCCGGGTGTGCCCCCCC